GGTTGGAACGAGTCCGGAGGAGGCCACAAAGCTGATCCAGGGGCTGGAGCAGCTCTGCTGCGAGGACAGGCTGCGGGAGCTGGGATTGTTCAGCTGGAGAAGAAAAGACTCTGGAGGGACCTTATCTCTGCCTTCCAATACCTTCCAATACCAATATAAGGTCACTGGGGGGACCTTATGCCAGCCTTCCCATAGGTTCTCTGAAGGGAACCTACAGGAAGGCTGGGGAGGGACTTTTGACAAGAGTGTCCAGCGATAGGACAAGGGGAAATGGGTTTAAGTTAAAGGAAAAGAGGTTTAGATTGGATCTTCAGAAGAAATTCTTCAGTGCGAGGGTGGCAAGACTCAGGAACAGATTGCCCAGGGAGGCTGCGGCTGGCCCCCCCCTTCCAGAGAGGCTGTGGCTGCCCCCTCCCTGGAGGTGTTCAAGGCCAGGTTGGATGAGCCTTGAGCAACCTGGGCTGGTTCGGGGGGGGGGGTCAGATGATCTCTAAGGTCCCTTCCAACCTAAGACATTCTAGGATTCTACTGGGAAGGAGCTGACTATCCCAGCCAAACCCAGGACACTTTATTACAGTTCTGTTTGCTCTCAGAACACCACAGGAACTCAGATGAAGAGCCCCGAGAAGGGACCGTGCTCTCATTCAGATGATGCCCCCCACGAGCACAGTTCTGCCCTTCGATCCTTACCCAGCTCAGCTTTGAGATCTGCCAAGGCTTGCAGGAATGTAAAAAGGTATAAAAAAATACCAGCAACTTTTAGACTTGGAGCAGAGGTCTGCTTTTAAACAGCTCTGCCAGAGGATGATTTAATTAACAGTGATAAACTCTGGACTCTATGCCTTGCCCATAGAGAAGGAATTTAACGAGTAGGATTTAGACACCCAGCAGGGCTGTGGGATAGAAGATGACTTTTGCAGCTAAACGTTTTGAACTATGCTGCCCACCGCGACAGTTAGGTGCCCAAGTGCCCGTGTCAACTCAGCTCTTCAATGTTATATTTTCGAAGGGTTCCCGTGACGAATGAGCATAGGGTGACTGGGTTAGTGAAAATCATCACAGCCAGTGAGCGACAAAGAAGTTATCACAGAAAGCCAACATATTTAATTGCTATTAAAGTTGCAAGGGTAAGAACCTGGTGCGCAGGTTTCTGGATTTTATGCTCAGAAAGTACCACTTAGGTAGGAAAAAACAACTTCCCGCAGTGCCAGGCCAGAAACCTCCTCCTGTGAAGGGCACAGTGTTTCTGGTGCAGGTACACCATGTTTTCCAGGTTTCAAGCCCCAGAAAATCCTCTAGAATGCACAGAAAAATTATTGCAATGAGTAAGCCCCATCATTGCTAAATTCTGAGTCTTATCGATTGAGTTTGTGCAGCTTTAGATTCAGTTGTTATTCTTTTCCTTATCTCTAGTATCTCAACATTTAATCATTTACAGACCTTGATGACGATGGTTTTAAAATTCTCCTTAATGAGTTTGTTCTGTCTGTTGCTGCAACATCTTTTGGTTTTAAGATCGTCAGACTTACAGATCTTTTCTAAAGCTTTTTACACAGATCCGGCACCTGTCCTCACAATGTGGCATTCTGTGCCACACGCAACTATTTTTAGGTACTTTTATTCCAGAACTTTAATAAAAGATATCAAATATTGCTCACTGAAAGCCTTTACATGAGGATTCTCTGTTGTTAATTATTCTTGAAAAGCTGTCTGAAACGGATCAAAAATTACACTGATACCATGTATTTCTCAGCCCCCTCCATTCTTAGCTCTTCAGTGCCCGCCATGAAGTTCTTTAAAACAGAATTCCCAGATTGTGAAACTTGCCACTGAGAATTGTGCTAATTATTTGCTAAAACATTATTAAAACCATTATTTGCTAATACAGCCACGAGGAACTTGTGGTGGTGTGAAGCACATGGGCTGTGCAATGGCTCAAACGAGCATCACGCTGGCTGGCGCAGCCGGGTCAGGCTGGAAAGCTCGTGGAGGTAGGACTGAGTACGGTGGGATACGCTGCAGAGGAAGGGGTGGGGATGGGGAAAGACGTCCCAGACAGGTCTTACACAAAGAAAACCAGGGTTCTGGTTCGTTCACACGTGAGGAGCACAGTGTTCAGCTCCCGCTTTGGTGAATTAAAGAAGCAGGAAAGTGATAACCTGCCCAAAACGGCACTTGGTTTTTTGTTAGAGTACCTGAACAAATGAAGTCTGAGAAACATGCTTGGTGGGGATAGGAAATGCTTGCATTAGGGAAAAAGTCCTGAATGGAACACAAGCACAGAGAAAAATCACCAGTGCCTCACTGCACACTGGAGGTCCCTTGTTAAACAGCAGCGGGATCTTTTCACTCTCGGGCTGCCACCCCCACGGCTTTGAGTAGATGTGTTTTGTAAACAACACGGAAAATACTCTAACCCGTGTCCTACATGATGGGATTCCCCTGCAGACAGATTGCTACAAGGATCATCTTTCCAAATGAGACCAGAGCGTGTCGTTTCGGAAGCACAAGAGCTGCAGTTTGTTGCCCACCCTTTGCAAGAGGCTAACGCTGCCGCGTGCTGATCAAACCAGAGCTGCATTTTGGCTGCCACATACAGATCAGGAAAGCCTCTGGGGTGGTCAGTTTAATTGATATGGAGGAACAATTTAATCTATTTGGTAGTTGGCAGAACACGGCTGCCAGTCCTGGTGCAGGGCAGATCCCTGTGCTGCGAGAGGCAGGCAGAAAAACCTCACAACGTGATGGTAAGGAGACCTCCAAGGAGCACTTTAATCAGGGTGAGACGTGGGGTGTTCTGCACGGGGGAGAGGCACTCCTGCTGTCAGAGGGAATTTGGCTGCGAGGGACCCAAAAACTCCTTGTGTGTTATGTATTCAAACTGCTGGCTGGAAAGGCGCGGTGTGAAAGGGAGTGATTGCCATGTCACGGCGGTTCTGCTTCTCAGACACAGCAGACCCACAGAAGCGCTCAAATCAACAGCAGGTCTGGATTTCCAGAAATAACAAGCCAAAACCTCCACATTTTCAGAGGAGAGCAAAAATAGAGTTTTACAGAGAGTGTCCATGAGGACATAACATTAATTTTTGCTCCTCTCTTTTAAAGGAGAAAGGAGTGAGACAGGAGCAATATCTAAAGAAAATGACGATGTATCGGTCTGATGGCTCACAAAGAATCTGGTAGAAAGATGCAGAATAGGGACTACTGCATTGTAGTCACATGCTAGAAATTTAACATCTCATGCACGACTGGAATTATTAAAGAATCCCTCTCTCTTCCCAGCGGAGGACGCCAGGTTACAGCCTGCCCTGCAGGACAGCAGGCATGTTCCACCCTCTCACGTTCCACTTCAGTGCCCAAAGTCCGTCACAGTTTTCTGCAGAGAAAAGTTAAAACAGCACTTGCACTCCAGGGGACCAGCGTAAAGGTTTTTATTAGCCCTAAGATGCCACCAAAACAGAATGCAGCAAACTTGCAAGGCTGAAGCAGCTGCACCCGCTGCAGTCGGGACGGTGCAAATTGCAACGACTCAGGTGAACCTGAGTACGTTAACGGAAACGTTTCCCCGAGCAGCGGAAAGAGATCGCAAGTCAGGACCAACAGCGGGAGGTGTGCTGCCTTATGTACTCGCTGCTTGCAATGGCCAAACTAGCAGTAGCACACTGCTCTGAAG